AAAAAAAAGAGGATATTGCATTGGGTCATAAGAACCGTTTAGTTCAGAGACATGTTGTAAACTATTAGATTTTGATTTTATAATAATATCCCGTTTCATACGATCTAAGGGTTCATGACCTTCTACCCAAATACCTGCAACTTGTGAAGCTGTTGGAGTATTATATATTCGTTGATCTAAGCCATGGTCAGCTCTAATAATAAGTTGAAGGTTGTTTATAGCATTATCGGAGGCAATTGAGCGAAAATTAGCAATGAATGGATTAAATTGGTTTAATATTGATTTGATAATATCTAGAGTATCACGTCGAAGCTTAGGCATTATAGTAAGCCTGTTTTCTGTTTCATGTTCAGTATCATAAATATATAACTGAAGAAATTTCGGTGTTTCATTATTCGGAAGAAGAGACCCTATAGAGTGATATATTCCACCCTGAACCCGAAATGTATATACTCCATCTTTGCCTGTCAGAAATTAGTGAGAATTATAAATTATTATTATAGACTATATTATTATAGATAATTATATAATTTATTATTAAATAATTTTACCATTAGCAAGAGTATCGTCTATCTTGACCCCCATAGATGTGAAAGCAAAAACACTATTATAAGCACGGATATTAACACGGAACTCATTTCCCATTTCATCAAGTCTCATAAATAAATCTCTTAATTGTGCAACTTGTTCAGTTGAAGCCAATCTATTGTAAATATATTAGTGCATGAAGGATTATTATTGTTATTGTTAATGATTATTAATAAGTTATTTTTATCTTACCTAACTTTCCCGCTAATACAGCAAATTCCTTCAGTTTCACCAGAGAAAAGCTTGGCATTACAATAAGAACAAATGGAAGGAGGTTTTAAAGTGTGACGAATAGTTGAAGCTGTTTCTTGAAAATGTAGACCAAATTTATGCAACCTTCGTGGTTTGTTTAAAGAAGTTTGTATATTTGTTCGGGTGTTCTTATTATTATTGGTATTATTGGTAATTACAACGGGTCGTGAAAGTATACGACGAAAAGGTGGCATTTCGAATAAGCATAGACGATGAAAATAGCAGTATCTGCTTCTAAAATTATCATTATAATATAAAGTATTCGAATGAATAAATATACACCACTACGCCGGTTTTGGTCAACTTTAAAAATATGTTATAATTTAAAACTATTTAGAATAGCTTTGAGCTTTCTTATAGTAAATTGATATATGTATATTCAAGTTTATCGATTTTACTGTTTTTTAGCTAGAACGAAAGCGAAATTTTTTTTTTCCCGCGCTTCTAATTTTTTCTATATTTGACTTTTAATTAATTTCATCATAGATAATTCATATGATATTTGACTTTATTAAAATTACATTTCATGTGTTGTTTTGATATTATGATAATATACTATTCGTTTGATCTTGGGTAATTGATAAATTACGATTCGATCGTTGAAACCACGTGATCCAGAACCTAAGACTAATGCGAAATCCGATTATTATAATTTATCTATTGTTTATTCATTTTTCGACTCTAAAGTTTTCTAACCCTTCACCTCTTCATTTCAAGTACTCTCTTATCACCATAATACTTATGTCGTAT